TTGCAAATGTGCCATACTTCATGGCTTTGTTCCCTTTGAGGTATTTTTCATGCGGAAAATCTCCTTTATTGTGTATTTGTTTGGAATTTTTAAGTTAAGAAGACGTTGAACTGTAGTAATCACATGGTTTTGGAATATTCTTGGATATGAAATAGTTTGGCTTCATGGAACCTTCCTACTCTTGTTGACTTGCAATTGTGACAGTTGGCAACCATTGGTGTCTGAGGATTGTGGTATCCCTTTTTTGCCCATCTTTCCATTAAATAATCTACTTTCTATGTCAATTTTAACTCCTTCCCGAATTCTTTTTGGAGCAAAATTCTCAAAAATCAAGTACTAGGTGTTTTTGCTTTATATTTAGAGAAATAAAAGGTAGATTGCATCATAACATTTGCAAGGTTAATTAAGCATCAATGCCTTTTTTGGCCCATGAAGTGATGAGCTTATCCTTGGAAGCTTTATTGGAGTAGCTCAGAGTTCGAGAGGGTCCCTATAAGTCATTATGAATCAGTGAAAAAGGAGCAGGAGTATAAGGGTGGGGTAGATATTGTATACGTTAATATTTAGCTAAATGACAAATCTCACATTCAAAAACTACATAGATTTTTATTAATAAATATCAAAGGATATTATTGTTTTAAATAGTGAAAACTGAGATGACCCAACTACTCGCTTATAGCAGTAGCAGTTCTAGTGAAAACTGAGATGACCTAACTACTCGCTTATGTAAAAGCACAATAGGACATCATCAATGCTTTTTTTTTCTGGAAGAAGTAGAGCACAACTACTCGCTTATAGCAGTTCTAATCATTCTCCCCAAACAACTATCCTGAAAGACAAACATCTAGAAAAAAATGAGCAACACAATCAAGACATATGTTAATTTACTGAATCGACAAGTGGTTACACTTTAGCAAATGAATCTGTAACACAGATCCCACAGTTAGCCCGACTGTAAGAACAACAAACCCGTTACCCATAATGCAACTATAGGAGCTGTCGACAAATTTTATAGTATCTCTCCTGGAGCACGAGGGATATGCTGAGAAGCCTTGTGAACACCTGATCATGTGGTCCATGACACCTGAATCAATAATCCACGGAATAGTATAATCAAAAGCAGTTAGTGTCATAGAATTGTTACTTTGACGAACATGGGAGGTCGAAGGGCCGAAAGAAAACTAACTAGATCCAAACAACTTAATTAAGTTTTCCATCAGACTCTTGATAGAGTTTGGTGATTCTGAGATGGTTCGAGTGGGGTTCGACTGCACAGTCGTGGATTATGAGGTCTCAGAGAGTCCTTTAGTAGCAGAGGTTTTGGTCGAAGACTTATTCGCTGGTTTCCGGTGAAACTTCCAACACTTGTCATAGATATGCTATGATTTGTGATAAAAATCACATGTGAAGTGATTGACTCGTGACGACGTGGCAGAGTGTTGAGTACTATTGGAGACCAAGGTTGAAGGTTCGACTGAAGGAGTGGAGGTGCCGAGCATAATAAGTCTATTTCTTTCTTCTTGGCGAATCTAGGTGAATGCTACCTGAGTTGAAGGATTCCTATATATGGGTAGTCCCGACATAGAGGATTCAGACGGCGGGAAATCCTGTAGGGAAGATCAACGGCGGTAGGCCCTGCAGACGGCGGGCTAAAATGAGATTTAGCCTGCTGGAGGGGAGGTCTAACGACTAGAAACTTCTACAGGAAGGATCAACGACTGAAATTTACAGGGAAACAACGACGGGAGAGCCGACAGGGAAGATAACAACTATAAAACTGCAGGAAGAGGGAGACCAACTGTTGAAAGTTATGGGCGAGGGAGGCCTACAGGATGTTCCGACGACGGGAAGAAGGGATCAACAACTAAAAACAACAGCATGAGGAGAAAAAACTGCAGTGTATGGAGGCCCACACTTGAAAACTGCAGGGTAGGGAGGCCTACAGGATATTCCGGAAATGGGAAGAAGGGGCTGGTGGCTAGGGTTAGATCATTGGCTCTGAAACTATGTAGTTTTTAAGAATTGAGCATAATAATCTTATTGATATGAAAGGAAAGTCATAAGTACATATTACACGACTCCTAACATAGGAAATATATAAAATAGGAAAGACATGCAATTAGGAAATGTATAAAATAGGAAGGAAACATATAAAACATGTAATATCGGAAAAGAAAATAAATCAATGCTAATATCTTCTAACAGCTTTCATGGAGTTGATGTGCCAAGCAGTGACAAGAGTTTTAGACTACCATTATTTCAGATTATGGTCAACATTATCAAGATTTGAAATTTCACTAGTTAATTGCTTAATTTTGCTTCTCTCGTCGATTGCCAGTTTTACAGATTAAGCTCACACGAGATATTGTGCCCATTGAGTTTTGTAACCATAACTTAATGAGTTGAATTCTAGGAATAATAATCAATAAATACAAGAGTGAGAGGAATTGTAGGGTGGGGCCATGTGGAGAGAAGATATAATTTATTTGAGCGCTTGTCATTGCCACTTTATACAACATTATCAGAAGAGAGAATGAAAAACTTGCATGAGGCTTGGATACCATGTAGAAAATAATGACAATGAAAAATACTCTCAAGAGTATTTATATATTAAAAAGGTTGATCACCGTTCAACCCCATAGTTTGATCGAGGGGCGGATCCTCTTCCAGAAAGGTGTGCAATTCGATCATACACAAGGATCGAACCCCCGACCCGAAGGACTTACACTAAAGGGAGCAACCAATGAGTGAGGCTCAGGCGTGTATATATATATATATATACATCTCCCATAAATATTATAAAAATGAAATACAACAAAAAAATTGTTGGGCAAATAAGTAGGGGCCGGCGATCTTACAGAAGGGTACACTGATTGCAATTTGAATATCATAAAGAGACAGATCCAATGATATAGAGCTATGATCTTTGTGCCTTAAGATCTCTGATATTTTTGGAGTAGTACAATTTCAACATATTTGTTCTTCTTTGAACTGCTCATGTATAAGACAAGCAATAAAAGGATGAAATAATGTCATTTAGAGATTAAGGATGGTTCTTTTCATAGTTGATGCGATCCTCTGACCATTCAAAACAATACATGTTGCAATCAAATATTCATTAGTTAAAAGTTACATGTAGGACCTTTAGCCAAAGTGCAAATATAAATATTAACTCTAAAAAAATTATTTGAAGACCACTAGAATTGTTTGAAGCTAAATTTTACTCCCAAAAAATTCTTAAACTTCATTTAAAGTTAAATATTCATAAAATATTTTTAGAATGCAAAAAAAATGAAAAAATAAAAATAAAAATAAAAAAATCAAAGAGTTCCTTTTTCATGGCTTGAGGAAGAAAACTCAATTTAGGTGCCTCCATGGGATGAATTTATCAAAGTTCCCTAGAATCAATATTTATTCATCTGACTTATGAAGATTAGTATAGTGCTGACTTTAGTTTGGAAAGTTGTATGCATTTTTATTGAGAATTTTTATATGGTTAGCTTCATGTTTTTTTTATTTTAAGCTGTCAAAAACTGCATAATTTATTTCTTTGATAAATATGAAATGGTTATAAAATGTATATTGATATTTAGGTATATAATAGGGATTTCATTATAGAAATTGGAATAAAAATTATGGATTCTGTAGTTAAAATTAAAATTATTTTGTTTATTTTAAGAACATAGTGGTGATTTTCCAAAATGAGGTAAACAAAGTATAAATAAAAGTATTTTTAAGGGGATGTTTGATTTGCTGAAAAAGTAATGTAGTATAAAAGGAATATATTATATTTGGAATACTCTAGAGTAGTTTGGTTATGTGAAAAATAAATGTAGAACCTTAAATTTTTTAGTTTGGTTTTGAAGTGAAAGCAATTCAATATAAAATACACCTGTCAACAATGGCAGTTATTAAATGTGGCGGGTAGAGGGAGGTGATCTGCTAATGGCGGCTGAAGTTAGCAAGTGTTGGGCAGGCAACAATGGTTTGTTTGGGGCAGGTGGGGGTGGGCGGGGAATTACTGACGGTCTATAACGGTAAGAGTAGTGGCGGTTGGCAAATGGTTGCAAACAATTCACCCAAATCCAGTGAATTTCAAATACATTGAAATTGAACTAGAAAATAAATTTTAAATACATTGTAATTTTACACTGCATTTGTTTTTATTCTGACCAAATGTCTGGATTTCCAAAAAAAAGAAATGCAATGCACTCTTTTTGCTACTGACCAAATAACCCCTAAATGATTTGTATGTACAATTGTTATATGTTAAGTGTGGTTCAAAATTTGTACTATCCCCATGGCATTTTTTTGATCAGTCTCGCTTGGCAAATTGCGACAATCATAATTAAGTCTTTTAATTTAATCTTGTGCTTGTCCATGAATTCTGTATTCTTTGAAGATGCAGATTCGTATTCTTATAATTCTTCACCCCTCTTTCTTCAAATTTGTAACCAAGATATTGATAGCCTAACTAGTGCAGTTAATTTGATGTATCCTGGCCGCGATATTCTTCTAGCGGTCTCAATAGAAGGATTTTGTTAGGTCAAGAACCTCACTAAGAAGATAATTCAAATGAGAATTTCAATTAACTATGTCTTTCTTGTAATTGCTGCAAAAAACCAGCTGAAGCAAGAAAATAACATTATCATCGTTCTCTCCAGAAATTTTGCGTTATTCATGCTTGCTAGCTGAATTATTTGTTTAACCATTCTGCATTTCTTTGAACCTAGTTTACTATGCTGATTGTCTGGTCAATTTGCTATAAATGATTTATTTTCAATAATTATTTCTTAGACTTTAACCGATGTTGCCACCATTAGTTCTTTCACTGTTTCTACAAGGATCCTATAATTTTAAAATTTAGTGTTTTTTTGAAGATATTTACAATTATTTCATTGCAATTTTCTAGGACCAGTTTTTAGCCATTTATTCTGATTCCACCTTAAAATCCATATCTATTTTCACCAATAATTAGTATTATATTTTTCTTGAACTAGTCAGGAATACTATAGAACTTGATGGATATAAACCTCCTTTAGAACTTCTTCAAATTCTTCCTGCTAAATCAACAATCAGGGGATCTGAAGTTGGCCCTCAAATTGGTCCTAACAATCCAAAGTTCACTCTGGTAGACTTACTTGCATTATGCTCTATATGCGTGTTGCTTATGTGAGCCTGTCAATGGTGACCATTTAATAGTTTTATCTCAGGGAATGCAGGCTTTATTGGATTTAGTCTCTACCGTTGAGGGTTCAGTTTCAGAGGCAGCAAAAATCCTGGGGTAAGTTCCCTGTGTTTCTTTCTTGGGATATTGCATACCTGCCACAAAATTTCTATGTATTTACATATTTAACACCTAAACTCTGATATTTCATCCAAAGTTCTATGCATTTAAATATTGAAGTTTGGGTGTTAGATATGTAAATACAGAAGAATTGCATGGTATGTATGTAACTGCCCCTTCTTTCTTTTGTGCCTTTAATCTTTTTGGTGAATACAATTTTATGCAAAGTAAATGCGCATGAATTTCTATAATTGAAAAAAAAAGCTAATTGGAACTTAAATTTAAATTCTCAGTCCCCAACTGAAGGTATGCATTATTATTAAGGGGGAAATGCTTGGAACATTAGCTTATCAGTTTTTTCATTTAATTTTTCCCTTGCTGTTTTCTGGCTTAATTATGTTTTTCTCATCCGGATCATTGGACTATTATTTATTTTATGGATCTGAATCTACTGCTCTTTTATTTAATTCTGCTTATGCTAGGGATTCGTATCATGCAGGCATAAAAAATTCTTTACTTATTTCGTTGACAATGCAGGCTAAGTACGGGCGCCCTGTCAAGGCTCATACTTTCAGATGATTCTCTCCGAGCTGCAGTAAATGAACTCAGAACATCCAAGGTGAAACTATATTTTTTGGGAGGGATATACCACACAATTCTTATATATTTACATATCTAAAATCGAAACTTCAAAACTCAATCTGTATTATCAAAACCAAAACTGCAACCAATTCTGGTATTCAAAGATGAAAGGCATCTTTTCATGCATATGTTTTGATATGATAGTGTTATATACGTAAATATCAAAGTTTAGGTGTTAGATGTATACATACGTAAGAATTGTGTAGTGTGTGTGTGTGTGTATATATATATATATATATATTGAAAGCCCAAAAAGACTAATATATTAAATAGAAAGAAAGATACATATACAATGTGTGAGAGGGCCTAAGCACCGCACCTGCCCAAACAAAAAGCCACAGAACGTTTCAAAACTAGAAAAAATAGAAAATACAATAGATACTAAAATAAAAAACCTAACAATGCCGAAATACATAGTATCAAGTGGCTAAAGAGCGACCCTGGCTAGAGAGCGACCCAATTTGGTCTTGCCTCTGCCTCTAGTTCTAGGGAAGGAACAAACTAATAAGCTGGTAAGATGATCGCCATTGCTAGTAGTAACCAATGTATCATCCAATATGTTCCCAAGCTGGAGTCGGTCTCCATTCTTCTTCCTCCTGGAATAGACCTGCCATTCCTCTTCCGAAGAATCAGTCTGATGGGGTGGTAGAGCTGAAGCAAAAGGAATTCCAATCGTAGTACCCACAATAGGTTCTAGTATATGTGAAGTATGAGTTGCCTCTACACCGGATACTTCCTGAAGAAGTGGAGCTACGATGCTCTTCTGATTATTAGTATGAACACTATCATTTGTAGGTAATAGTTCATCAGTATTGTTTTCTATGGGATTTGAAGGCTCCAGCATCATATCACTCGCAGTAACAGTAACAACAATGTCATGAGGGGGTCCTCAGGGGCAACATACACCTCCTGTTTGGTAGTATCATTCTCAGGTGGAACTAAGATGTCTAGAGTAGTGGGATTAGACCCATCCTTATTTATTTGAACCTTAGATTTCAAATTTGGATAAAATTTGTGGCATTTATCAAGGATATGACCAAATATCTTACAACGGATACAATATGGGGGTCTGTGCTCCATGACGATTTGTTGCCAATAACCATTATGAGTTGTGTCCAACCAGACTTCAGTAACATTAGATAAAGTAATATCACTTTCCACAAGTATTCTGGCTACCGAGGGTCTGGTTAAGTTAAAAGTAGGCAGATGTAGCTTCAAAGAATTCTTAAGGATGACCCCAATCGAGTAGAGAACCTTATGGTGAAAAAAAATGCAGCTTGAGACCAGGTAAACTAAACCATACCGGTACAGTGGGAGTTTCATGTTTTGGGTCGAAATCAGGAGACCACTTGAGTAGCTTCATAGGTTTACAAGCGATGTTAAGATATTTTCTGGAGAAAATTCGAGTGTAGTCATCAGACATGAATAACTGAATCAATACATGTCTCCCATTCATGAGCCTCACTTTCCACTTTCCTGTTAATTTGAGGTCATGAAAACTTTTCCAGATAATTTTCATAGGTGGTTATCCCCTCTGAAATTTCTCAATAAGATCAAATTTGAATTTGTCAGTTAGAGTTGAAATTTCTGACTTGGAGAAAAAAAGTACTGTCTTCCCACTTTTTCTGCTTGCATTCTTAATAAAGGGACAGTCACTTATACCATCACGATGCTCCTTATAACTTAAAGGGAAGACAACTGCCGTCTTCCCTTGAGGATTACCCACCACGTAGGCAAAGGAGGTTTTGTCAGGTTCAACCGAAGAAGAAAGAAGCTCCATCACAACAAAGAGAAGCCCTGCAAGTCGGGCAGAGGGTAAAAAAGACGAGCCGAAGAGCTCGGGGCGAAGCTGCGCAGAAGACAGGAATCGTAATTGAAATGCACAGAAGACAGGGCGACGAAATCGTAGCTCGGCAGATGAAACTGCGGCTCGATCCGTGCAGAAAAGAACCGCAGAAGCTGGAAGGCGCGAAAGAGGAGACGACGAAACCACAGAAGCAGAAGCCGAAGCCCTTCGTCATTTGGCGCAAAAGAGAAGAGGACGATCGCAAGGTAAAGTCCTTCGTCGTCGTCGTCGTGTGCGGGAAACTGCGTTGTAGTCGTCGAGTATGGAATTAAACCAAGGTTTCACAATCGGTCGAAACCCTAGCAGAGCAGATCGCCAAATTTCTCTTTCTTTTTTCTGCTACCTTTCATGTGCTTGATTTCATAAATAAGTCATTTGGGTGCTTGGTTGTTTGAACTTTATGTGATAGAGGAACTGCTGCTCTTTTCTGTTGGGGTTTGAGTACAAAAACCACTTTAACCCTCCTCGAAGAACAATGGATTAACAGATAGTGTCTCTAGTTTTAGATGATAATGCCCTATTGAACTGTAAATCTGAATGAGGTTTGGTTATTAATAGGCTAAGTGATTAATTCCATTAAAAATTTTTATCTTTATATCTTTTACTTAAGTGAATTTATTCTGTGAAGACCAATGGTCAGTGAAACGAGTTGACTCTTATAACAAAGGCTTTGTGCTTCATTACTTGGCTCAGCATTTGTATTGCTGCCACATGGTCAATCCTCGTTGTTTTTGATACATTTGCTCCTTGGATCAAATGAATAGAATACTAAATTTAATACTTTGAATCTTGAAGCGATGTCTAGTAGCATTTTGGATAGTGGATCTGAAATTGCTAATGACGAAAGCATTCTTCAGTTGCAATAATTGTTCAATGAATTGGAAATCAGTAATTTAACACATGAATCAATGAGAATAGATCATTTATGTCACATACGCCAAACTTTTAGTGATGTTCAACACTGAAGTAGGGAATATCATATAGGAAAAGAGATAGAAAATACATATTTTATTAGAAAACTATCAGAAATACTGAAGTCTGATGTGCTTTAATGAACTTTAAAGCATGAAGACGCTCAAAAAATCAGTCTTTCTAGCTACACATTGTAAGGAAGAAGAGCCTTTTCTTAGTTTTTTTAATCATCATTTAAGGAATGATTGGATTGTATGCCAACTATTTTTCTTTCCCAGAAGATATGAGAAGTTATGTAGCACAACAAATTCTGCTTGGATTAGATTACTACTGGTTTCTTTGTACCGTTGTGGTCAAGCTAAGCTCTTGCACTGATTTGTTAAGCCGCTAAACTGAGTATTTCAGCTTTTCATTCAGGGCCTGAAACCTCTCAAGTGAGTTGTTGAAATTCGCAGAAGAAGCATATGGATTAGGTATGCAATTTTCCTCATCATATTTGACACATTGAAAATAAGATTCATTTCTAAACATTTCTTGGAGAACTTCTCCTGTTTATGTTGCCATACTGGTCTTTAATCATCATTGGAGCATACTTCTGTTGATACTTTCTGGTATACTAAGGTATCATTAAATTTTGTTTTTTATTTATTTTATGTTGGAATAAAATGTCAGGCAGCTTTTTTTTTTTTTTTGCTATACTGAATGGAAAACAGCCGAAACATGTCTTTGAATCTCTGCCCTCCTGAAGGAGCAAAATCCCCAATCATTAGCAATCAAACGTCCATAAAATATCATCAAGTTGGCACAAGCTGTTGAAGTGAAAAAAAGTTGGATACTTTTCCCATAAAATAGTTGGAAAAGGCTAGTTTCTCATGCAATATAAAGATTGTTGTTTAAGGATGTGGCTTCAAAAATGAAAATCATGAATCGAATCAGGCAAAATCAAGTCTCTTTTTTTACTTGCTAGTTTTGTACTCAAAACACAAAAATAAGAATAAGTTTCCTCATTCATCTTCCAGAATAATAGCTTCTTCCCATTAGCGTATTACTCAATAATTCAGATAGCAATCCCACATTCATACATCATTCATCCAAAATTAATGAATTATGATTCATAAATTAGCGCAACAAGAAAGTCATATAAAGGTGAAAAAATGTTGCTTCCTGATATTGGTTAATATTATTCTACTTTAAATTCAAGATGATATCTTTGTTCTTTTCAAAATGAGAACTCATATTGGATTGTGTTCACCCCCGAGCTCACCTCCGAGCCTAAGGCCAATGTAACAGCTTATTTTTTTGTGCCTCATCCTAGCCATCCAGTTTTTATTTTCTAAATAATAACTGGTTATGGTAGCTCAATCGATTGGATTATATGGAGAAGTGCATATAAAGTCATCTCCTAGATATGCTAGAATTGGCACAATTAGTTGATTGATCCATATTTGGTTGGTCCTTGACGACTGCCAACTTGCTAAGATATGTTATCTGTAGCCATGCTACCCAGTGGCTAAGACTTTTGCCCAAATTTCTTCTCAAAATTGTGTGGATTATTTCGTTCCTGCATTACTAACTTCAACAACCTCAACAATTGAGAAACTGCCACAAGCCGCATCTTGTACAAACTAGGGGCCACATCTTGAAGATTCCTTAATTCTCCCAAGCATCCTTTTCTTTGAATCTCCATTGCTTTCCGTAATATCTACCTTTTAATTGATTGGTCATAAGATGGCTGCCCATGTGGACTCCATCCTTTATGCTCTCCACTTGTCTATTACACTTATTTCTTATAAAACTAGGCAGAAAGTGTGCCCTTGTCACTTACCAAATCAACTTCACGCCTACAAAAGACTTGCTTATAGAATATCACCAGCATCAATGAACTTTAAGCCTAAAGGAAACTCTAAAGACATTTTTGTATTAAGGCAATCTTTAGTTCAAGTTTTAGGAATGATGTATACAGAGAAAAAAACTAGTTGTAGGCCTCATTTACAATGCAATTGACAGGTCAAAGTGTTGATAAACCTAAATTCTCTTTGTCAAACCACAATTAAGCCACTATGTGGAAGGGAACATAGCTTCCAAAGCTTGCATTATCTCCAACATGCTTTGTAAGTTTATGTAGTTTGTTGCAAAGACAGTTGTAGCATGTTATATAGGTATTATTTGAGAAAATTTGCCATCAAATTTTGTTGAACTTTATTATCTTTGTTTTTCTCAAGACGTTCTTGCCTTGCGGCTAGTTATCCAGTTTCTCTAAAATCAAATTCTGCAGTTTGTTGAGCTAAGTTTTTGCACTGATTTGTTAAGCCGCTAAACTGATTGTATTTCAGTTTTTCATCCAGGGCATGAAACCTCTCAAGCGATAGTTGAAATTTGCAGTAGAAGCACGTGGATTTGGTAATTTGTAAGTTTCCTCTTGATATCTGACACATTGAAATTAAGATTCATTTCTAAACAATTCTTGTAGAACTTCTCCTGTTTTTTCTGCTATACTGGTCTTTTTAATCATAATTGGAGCATGCTTCAGTTTGTACTTCCTGGTATACTAAGGCATCATTAAATTTATTTTTTATTTATCTTATGTTGGGATAATATCTCCTAATTTTTTTGCCATATTGAGTCAAAAACTACCGCAAGCATGTCTTTTAACCTCCGCCCTCCTGAAGCAGAGCAAAATCCCCAATCACGAGGAATCAAACATCCATAAAATATCATAAAGTTGGCATACTCTGTTCAAGTGAAAAAAAGTTGGATACTTTTCCCATAATATGCTTGGAAAAGGCTAGTTTCTCATGGCAATATAAAGATTGTGGTCTAAGGATGTGGCTTCAAAAATGGAAATCATGAATCAAAGCAGGCAAAATCAAGTCTCTTTTTTCACTTGCTAGTTTTGTACTCAGAAACAAAAGTAAGAATAAGTTTCCTCATATCATTCATCTTCTAGAGTAATAGCTTCTTGCCATTAGCGTATTACTCAATAAGTCACATAGCAATCCCACATTCATATCATCATTCAACCAAAATTATATGATTTATAAATTAACGCAACAAAAAAATTATATGAAGGTGAAAAAATCTTGCTTCCTAACCTTGGTTAATAATATTATTCTACCTTAAATTCAAAATGAAATCTTTGTTCTCTTCAAAATGAACTCATATTGGATTGTGTTTCTCCCTGCTAGCTCACCTCCACTCATTTGGCCAATGTAACAGTTCAATTTTTTTGTTCCTCATCATAGTCATCCGATTTTTATTTTCTAAATAATAACTGATTATGGTAGCTGAATCAATTGGATTATATGGAGAAGTGCATATCAAGTTATCTCCTTGATATGCTAGAATTGGCACAATTAGTTGATTGAACCATATTTGGTTGGTCCTTGATGACTGCCAACTTGCCAAGTTATGTTATCTGGAGCCATTCTACCCAGTGGCTAAAACTTTTGCCTGAATTTCTACGCAAAAATGTGTGTATGATTTCGTTCTTGCATGACTAACTTTAATAACCATTGCCTCTCTCTCAACCATTAAGAAAGTGCCACGAGCCACATCTCGTACAAATTATGGGCCACATCTTGAAGATTCCTCAATTCTCACATGCATCCTTTTATTTAAATCTCCATTGCTTTCTGGAATATCTACCTTTTATTTTATTGATCATATGTTGGCTGCCCATGCGGAATCCATCCTTTTTCCTCTTCATCTGTCCTGTTACACTTGCTTCTTATAAAACTAGTCACGAAGTGTGCCCTAGTCACTTACCAAATCAACTTCACGCCTACAAAAGGCTTGCTGATAGATTATCACCAGCATTAATTGACTTGAGCCTCAAGGAGAGAGTGAAGACGTTCTTGTATTGAGGCAATCTTTAGTTCATGTTTTAAGAATGATGGATGCAGGCTTCATTTACAATGCAATCGACAAGTCAAAGAGTTGATAAACCTAAACGTTCTTTGTTAAACCACAATTAGGCCACTACGTGGAAGTGAATATAGCTTCCAAAGGTTCATTCTATCCAACATGCTTTGTAAGGTTATGTAGTTTGTAACAAATGTAATTATAGCATGCTATAGAAGTACTTCTTGAGAAAATGGGTTTTGGGGAATCGGTTATGTGTCATCCAACAAAATTTAATATGTTTCGTATGACACAGACTATATTTATTGATATGTTGGAAGAACTGCACCAAATCATGGTCTCTATGGCTCCTTTAGGATGACTTCAAGAGAGGTGCTACATATAACTCTCTATATTTTATTACAAATTGAGTCTAACACATCATAAATAACTAATAAATATCTTTCACTTGGCTCGAATGCCTTGATCAGCTTATTTATCAGAAGTTATCGAATATGAAGAGCCAATATTCCAAAGTACCCCGATAGAGGTTTCACAAGATCAATGCTAAATGTCATACTTTAAGGTAGACTCATGTGTTTATCTTTTCTAAAATTTACTTACACGTAGTTACACTAATTTGTTATTTAAATGACTTAGGATTGTATTTGAGCAATTAATGGAATACATATAAATGCATGTGTCTAATAATAATAAGATTGTATATATTAAACATTTTGATTCATGAACATAGTTGTGACTACATGTGATTTCAACACGTGTTTCACTTTTGTAATAACTGAATGAGAATGAAGCACATGATAATCAGCTATTAAAATTTATTGCGGGAGTGATAAATTTAATTTCCCCGAGCTGCCTTTAGATTTGCTTGAGTAAAAGAAAATAAATATATTTTCTTTACAATACTAATGATTTTACTTTTAATAGAAAAATATTATTTAGTTGATGTTGTATATTCGTTATAAAAAGGTTATCTCAAGCCATTTCTTGACACGAAAGATCACATTATTGATTTTGAAAGATATAACCATATAGTTTGAGATAAAAATGAGATGTTTAACAAGTGGCACTCATCTCCACGTGATGTTATTGAGAAAATATTTGGGGTTTGGAAAAAAATGAGTTAGTCTAGGAGATATGCCTACATATTCTTTCAACAAATAAGTAAGGATTGTAGCTGTTGCAATGACTCTGCACAATTATATATGTTGACTTCCTTCACGCAGTGATATTAATTTTAGTAGTGCAGATGAAAATCAGTCACATGTCCCTCCTGAAATATATGAATATTGTCCAGAGCTGTTAATATTACAAGTTGATTGTGATTTAATTGATTCTTGTACACACCATTGAGAAGGTGTTGGAGAGATGAATGAGTTGCAAGAGCAAATTACGACTGCATTGTTATTGGATGAAGTAGAGTTGTCTATTACTTTTTTTTATTTTATTTTAGTGCTGTGAAAATGCTTAATGTTTATTATATTGGCTCTTTATGCAATGATATTCATGTTGAATATATATTTGTTGTAGTGTTTTTTTCATTTTTTTCAGCATGCATATTATCCCACTTAGGATGGCCATCTAGGCAACCGTGAGTGTAATATAAGTTTTATTTATATATATATATATTATTTAGAGGTCAATATGAGATATATGACCTAAATGGTTTTTCTAGATGACCTTTATGTTGCTATGAATTTTGACATAAATAAGATTGACAACAAGACAACTAATATCCATTTTTTTTTCAGTTATATGACTATTGAGATTCTTTTGGAGGGCCTTTGTGCTGATATGTTTCTATGACATATACAAGTTTGTATTATTTGGTTTAAAGGAAACCAAGATTTCATTTCTTTAAAATCTTTAATTTTCTTATAATGAGAAATTATGTTTCGGTTTATCTTTGTTCTGAGAACTCACAGTTTTATGAATATTTAATTATGTATTTCTATTATTCTTCTTAGTTAATATTTTATATAATTGTATCATTGTCCCATTAAGGCATGCTAATTTTATTTTATTAATTCGCAACTTTTCAGTAAATGTGAGCTCAATGACTTCTGGAGCTTCTAAAGACTTGTATTGCAACTTTGGATTGCAGTGATCATTCATTTATCACGAAGATAGAATAACTATGAGAAAGTTTTACAAGTGTTCAAGGAATAGTTCAACATACGAGTGTGACTTCTTTAAATGGACAGATCAATGTGATGATTCTTTCCCAGAAAGTGATCAGTTGTGGAGAGTGTTTTTGGCGAAGTTACTCCGTAGGATTGATTGTTTGCATTTCAAAATTAATATTTTGATAACATTAATTGTTTAATATTTTTTATTTTGATTTTGAAAATATTGATTGTTGTTTAATATATTTTTTTTATTTAAATATGACACTCAATAGGATGCAATGAAGAAAAAGGATTCATGTAGCCAAACTCACTTCGTGGGATAAAAGCTTGTTGTTGTTGTTGTTGTCGTCGTAATTTGATTGTCGAGTTACTAATTGTTAAGTGAGATGTTATTTCTAGGTGTAATACTTGAATTTTTGAGATCTTAAGGATTTGAATGTAATTTTTTATTTTCTTCTATAAATTATCAAGCATGGAATAATTGTCTTACAAAAAACACAACAATATAGAAATAAAAAATATCTTCTTTTCGTAAGGAGCGACAAACAAAAACTTCCCTACAACAATTTCCTCTCACAACTGTTGTGTTGCGGCTTTCTAGTAGGCTGCAACTACCCCATGCAGATCCTTAAACTCCAATTTTTACATCCATACCAACTTATAGGTGCATGGGGTGCATTTTTCTTTTTAAAAATTAAAATGGTGGTATTTTCATGTGATATGAAAGATTTGAATGGTATAAATGTAATAAACAAAAGCTTAGGTGTTTGAAACGTAAATAGATAGGAATACGAGTGATCACAAATTTGCTGTGCGGTGTCCGATCATGACTACTAAAATACATTTTTTTTGTATTTTTTTATTATTAGAGTGTGGCTCACTTTAATTTTTTCACTATCCTGATCAGACACCTCACTCAAAAATTATTGTGTAAAAATTTGGGTGTGTGGTGTCCGTACGCAATAATTTTTCTAGGAACAGTCTGGTATGTTTGTAGATGCCCCCTTTTTTTTTTTTCATTGTTTTCCACTTTTCTAAAGGTTTTGCATTATACAAATTTTATTTTATTTTATATTTTTTTTAATAAACTGTGGAAATTGTAATTTTAAACATTTGAGGATAGAGAAATGTGAAATTTCATAATTCTACAGCTTTGAAATTCATATATTTACTTTATCATATTAAATGTCACGTCAAACTGAAGCTGTACGGCTTGAAATAGCCTAAAACTATTGAATAATGGAATTGACAATTTTACCACTATTGGCAACCTCATACTTTTATTTTTGGCATATTTACAAACAAAGCCCTCAAACCATTGCTATTTACGGAACTAGCACTCGTATTTTCTTTATTTGGCAAAAATGGTAAATGTAGGCTTAGGATTTTATTGTAAATTTTGATATTTAATTTGAAAAATAGATGAAAGAGATGGCTAGATTTGTAAATAATAATGTTTGAATGTTATTTATTTAATTGCCTTCTTTTTATAGAATGAGTGCTGAAAAATTATCTTTTAGGGTTAATTATTTTATCTTTAACTAACATGTTGTGCATTGGAGCGTTAAATAGTATTGTAAGTAATTAGGGTGTAAACGAGCCGAACACGAGCGAGCCTAGGCTCAGCTGGTGTTCGGTTCGTTCATATTTCAAGCTCAAAAAATGTGTTCGTCTTCGACTCGTTTGCTTAGCGAGCCGAACACGAGCCGTTCACGAACAAAAAGTCATTTTTACAACCCTAATCATGTAGTCATAAGATGTTAATGATTGTGGCAATGTTCAAAACATCATTTGAATTTAATTTAATAAATTTTGTTCTATTTTCTTCATCAGTACTTTCAATTGATTAGAAATCTTTGTAGCCTTGTAGTCAATACTACTCGTCAAAGATATATATAAAATTGATTAGTAGTATTTCGAGCCAAAAAGAGCCGAAAACGAACGAACAAATATCGGTTCGTGTTGTGCATATTCGGCTCGTTAACTTAGCGAACGAGCCGAAGAAGAGCTTCTTAACGAGTCGAACACGAGCTGTTCGCGAACAACAAGAATTTGCCTTTTTTTCTATTTTTATTTTTAATGTCATGCATTTGATCAGATGTTTTTGGATTTTACTTTGGATTAATTTGACCTGCCCTTTTTTAATTGAAATTATTATCATTAAAGTTGACATTAACCCTAAACTCTAGAGTCCCCAAGTTTTGGTTAATGATAAAAATAATAATAATTATTATTATTTTGGATTATAGTTTTTTTATTATGTGCAAGTGGAATCATATAAATCCAAAGTTTATTTAATTTTTTTTATTTTTTAGCATTGTCAAATATATTTTTTTAAATGTGATATAAAAGATTTGTAGGGTAAAAATATAAAATAAAAAAAAAACAAAATTGAAGGTTAGATATATAAATACATAGGAATTATGTGGCATGTATGCAAATTCCCAAAGATTTGGCCCCATAAATTAAAATAAAATTGAATGAAGTCTATTTTGCAATTAATTAATTTAATTTAATTTATTTATTTTTAATAGCCTTTTGGCATCCGGCCGAATGCGGCTGGCTGCCGCCCTTCCAAAAGCCGCATAATGCGGTTCAAAAGTACAATGGGGACAAATTTAGTTTACATTATAATACTTATTATTTTTGGATGGAATGTTTATTTTAAATAAAATATAAGTCAGGACTTTTGTGTGGAGAGGCTCCCAAACTTTATCGTTATAAATAAATATATTAAAATAAATATAAATTTTTTTTTTGGGATATTTACATGCAAACCACCCAACTACAATTCATGTGTATTTATGTAGCTGATAGCTAAACTTTACTTTCCACTTTATATTAAATAAATCCTCCTATCAAATAAAAAATATCATTATTTAAGGGAAAAAAAAGAAATATGCCTTCGCACGCACAGTAAGGTGGTATGGTATGTGATACGCTGCCAACAAATTTTCATCATCTGACATGAATCTCGAGGTAATATTTTGAGCAATAAATATTCAAATTTTGATAAAAAGTCATTGAGTGATCCGATTTTAGTAAATTTATAGTTAAACTGAATGACTCGATGAGAAAGATTCAATGATATCAAGGTTAGTCCAATCAGAGTCAAATCAAGTCAAGATCAAGCGATTAAATCATTCTTGAAAGATTTCTGGACATATTTGAAAGATTAAATGAATGTTGAATTCAACGAGTTTATAGTCGAATCGAGCGTCTCTACAAGACGAATCCAATGAGCAAGACGAATCCAATGAGCTCAAGGAGCTCAAGATTGCTCAATTCCGATATCGTTAAGACACTCAAATGTACATCAAATGCCATCCGATCGAGGGAAGCTCTCCGAACCATCAAACATTAATAGTTCATATTCTTGTATTAATTGCACTCAGAACACTATAAATAGAGCCTCACCCCTCACATGAGGGAATTAGACTTGAGAGAGAACTTAAGGTTTTGAGAAGAAGCTTAACTCCAACATCATTTCTGCCACCGCAAACTATCGTCGACCACCACCGATCACCGCTAACCTTCGTCGATTACCGCCGACCGTCATCAACTATTATCGAACACCGCTAACCAGAGCCGTCAGTCGACGTTGTATCTTAGAAAATCTAGTAACCCTTTCCCATCTGTGGGACAAGGGGGGCTTCTGTAATCATCAACTCATAGTGGATTTTTTTTAACTGGGTCAGACAACGTGGTTTTTTCCCTTATGGGTTTTCCACGTAAAAACTTCTAGTATCATCACATGTTGATTCTCTTTCATCTGAGTGTGTGCTGAATCCTCGTGCAACGCTAAGACGATAATCCATTACTCTACTGCCGCGAATTTTCTAGCATGCATTAGTATGTATGTAAGAATTGAAGTTTAGGTGTTGCATGTGTAAATACATAGGAATTGAGGGCATGTATGTAAATCTTTCAAATTTTTGTACAATCATAGTATGATTTTGTTAGAATGTGCAATTGATGTTTGAATGAAGTCGATATCAAGTTTGAATCATATTCAAAATTTGTTTGAAATTTGTTTGAAATACGCAAGATTAAATTCGAGGATGTTTTATCAAGTAAAATTGAACGATGTAGTGTGTGAAAGATTTCCAAATGTACAATCTGAGCGCGGACCAACTAATCTGAGTACGTGGTGCTTTAATATATATATATATATATATATATAAAGAATTTGGTGGTATGTATATAAATGCCCCAAATAAAACAATTAAAATTAAAAAAAATCATAATATATTCCTTCCAAATTTAATGATTTTTAATGGTGGCCTTCACCGGCTGTGTTAAGAACAAAAACGGAAAACATTTAGAAAATGTACATAAATAACACAACTATATATCTAACACCTAAAATATTTATTGCATATACATATAATACTTTGCTCATCAATCTATGCATGAAAGATGCATGCCACATTTAATAAACTTAATGACCACAATATCCTCGTGGTGATGTTAGTTTTTTTTGCATATTATATACCTAAACATAATAATTTAACTACCAGTTGTGGTGTGCATGGAAATATAAAAAAATATTACACGTAGAGCTACGTGCAGAGTCCAATAAAATTACGCCGTGGAAGTGATCGGTCTGGTAACACGAGGAAATATTCATTTTGTGTTATTCAGGGGTTATTGTGTTTTATTCAGGTATTATTGTCTTCTGGGAATATTCCCGGTGTTATAATAACACAATAACACATTAGTAATACTTGAATAACACACAATAACACTTGAATAACACACAATAACACTTGAATAACACGAGGGGAATATTCTCTTGTGTCGACCACCTCTATGACGTAATTTCATTGGTCTTCGCAAGTAACTCTACGTGCGGAGTTTTGATGTAATAGTTTTTCCATGTAAGTGCCCATTTTTTAAAAAAAATATTTTCATGATTAAAAATAAAAGAGCGGTTACATTAACATCACCCAAAATATTATTATTTACAAATTAAACATCCTCTTTCTCCCTACTCATATTTTTTCTTTTAAATGTATGGTTTTGATGGTTATAAATAGCAAAGTTTGTTATGCTCTTTATGTAATTGTCCCTCTCCCACAGCTTAAAACCCTGCCTTCATCCTTTCCCCACTCCACCATGAAATCCCTCTAACTTCTCCGTCCCCAAGTTCCAGAAACGAGCAATTTTCAGCATAACTCTCAGATAATCCATTGATTCTCAGAGAAAAAAATCGACGAAGCGCAGGAGCTCAACGGAGGTCTGAAAGGTTACTGGAATCCGAGAGCCTATCAGAAGCTCGATCGCAGCGGTCGGCGATCGAATAAGAGAAAATTGAAGCTGGGAGGCGGGTGGAGGGTTAAGGTATCTCCGAAGCTGAAGATCTTACAAGCGTTTTGGCCGAATAGGATTTTTGCCCTAATCCGGCAAGGCTACGTGCGCGCGATGTTGGGATTTGCCGGCAAGCTCTGGTACGGCAATGGCCAGAATGAGTACGTGGGACTGATTGGAGGTCCGTCGAGGAAGGAATATGAGGAGCGGTTGATTCTCCAGTTACAGAAACAGATCTTGGAGCGGAACCGCCGTTACGCCGCCGCCGGGATCACCGGTGCTCACAAGTGCGACGCGCTCCGGCGAGAACGGGTTGTAGGTGTGGTGGTCTGGGTATAGGGAGCAATTATTGAGTGCGGACGCCACATGTTGATTGGTGGCATTTTATTGCCATCACAATACTATCAAAATATCATGAATCTGAATCTATATCATCTACACGTAATATTTTTTTCGTTTGTAAGTCGGAAAGAATTGTTAATGACAGAAGTTGCGGGCAATTAATACATTGGTTTCATAGTTTTAAAAAGTACACTTGATTGTTTAATTCGTCAATATCAATATTTTGGATGATCTATATGTAATTATTCATAATAATTATTGGTATCTATGCATACAAGAAATATGCAGCCCAATCATTTAGAGGAATTGATGCCAATTGAATCTATTGGTCCTAATGGAAGTGTAGAACTTGTGGGATGCACTAATTGTACTATCATTGTCATCACCTCTTGATTGACTAAGAAATTGTTCATATAAATACCACTTTATTCCTATGTATTTACTTATCAAATATTATTTTATATATATTCATATATGTCATCTTATCTAATGTATGAGAAGGTATATTTTATTTTTTTAGTTAAAATTATGACATTTTATGACACATTATTTATACATGAAAATCAATATTTCGTTTTATTTCAATTTAAAAAAATGGAATTTCTTATGTGATATAAAAGATTTGAGCAGTATAAATGTAATAAATAGAGTTTTGGTCTTAGATATGTACTAATATACAAAGAAATTGGGCGGCATGTATGTAAATGCTGCTTTGATCTTTTTATGAATTGACTAATACATAACAAACAATGTTATAAACCATCAACTAATAAGACATTTTCAATAATTAAGAACTATTTCTTTTAAAAATTAGCTAAACTAGTTACTTTTGAGTGGTATAATAGCCAAGCATCACTTTTCTACATATTTTGGAATCCAATGCTAAGAATGTATTTTTATCACCAGTCATGTAACCCGAGCAACGGTTATCTAAATACCAAATAACTTTATTGTTTCTAATGTGCATGTTTTCTATCACATAAAATTAGCTAGTAATTTTAGGAACCTAGACCATTTGGTCCCTTTTAAGGGAAAGGAGAATACATGTTCTGATGAATTTAAGGATTTTTTTTTTTACTTTTCATTTTAATGTGTTCGTGTGAGATCTATATAGACATATGATGCAATATTTCTAATTGTTGCGCATGAAAGTTAGGAGTTTTTAGGAAATGCATGCATAATTTTTTTTTTTGGATTTAAAGTTATTCTTCGTAAAAGAGTATCCTTCTATAAGTGTCACTTGATGTAGTGAAAATTGTAGTTTAGGATTAGTGCTCAATTTTCTAAGTTCTAATATTTATTTTCTAAGATTCTCACTTGCACTTTTAGTCATTCCTAAATTGGCATGTAACCTATGAGTTTGTTCTTAAAGACTTTCAAATATACTTTCTAAATCATAATATGTTTCTTATAGATCAAAATGCTTGAGATTTTTTTTTGCAATCTCTTCATAAATACAATGTTTTTTTAGGTGTTGTGTTCTTGAAGACTTCAACATTATACAAAATTAATGGTAGAGTGATCTAAATTTCCCCATACAAAATTTTTATGATCCATGTGTTCATGGGCATTGACTAGAAACTCGTGAACCATCGGTATTACGACTTTACCAAGCTCAGCTACAAAATGGAGCTTACTCTGTTTAAAATTATTTGCTCTACTGAGCTACCCGGGCTAGAGAAATCACGCTTTGTAATGAGCTTAAAATTTTTAAGGGCTTCTTCATACCTATCTTGTGCTTTGGTACTAATAATAAGACATGCGTCATAGGTACCCAACGCCAAACTCTTCCCCTTCAATCCTCTGTGGGACATCTTCCTTTCATGAATTTGAGAAGAAGAAGAGTGTGAGGGATGGAGATTATAGAAATAGATTCATGAAATAAACATAAAATTTTTCATCTCTGAACACCGTTTATAAGGGTTGAGTGTTGCAACGCTGATATGCAGCGCCACGGTGCTAGCCTTTGACATGGTCAAATTGCGTAAGCAAACAATCCAATTTTTTGTCTGTTACAAAAGGATCTCATGAATTGATTAATGTGGCATGGTGGTGCTTGGTCTCGATGCAATGGGCTGAGGTAAGGCTTGGTCAAACGTAGTCAACTAATTTTAGGTTACACTTGTAATGCGATTAACCATCAATGAAATCAATTGAGTGCCACGAAGGTAGGGGTCAGTGATACGCCTAAAATATATAGTGTTTTTAGACACATTTTTATACTTATTTTTGAGATATTGCGTTTTAATGGAAGGTATTTGTATGTTTTTCTTGCAGGTACAAGTAAAAATATGAAAAATACAAAAAGGAGTGAAAAAGGATTAGATATGGAGCAAAAATGCAAAAGTGGTGCAAAAGAGTTTTGGCGCCTAAGTGCCAGATCTGGCGCTTAAGTGCTGGTGAAATAGAGAAGGTCGCACCTAAGCGCCAGAGGTCCCGCGGTTAAGCACCAGAGGTGGTTATTTGAAGGTTTAATTCATTTCACCGAATTCTGAAGGGACATTTGAGGCACTTATTGGCTAAAGATGGTGGCTATGACCACTAGAAACGAAAATATGATTAAAAGATTTGTGAAAAGAGGCATCCTTTGGAGAATACATCGAATTTGGACATATTTTGAAGAGTTACCAAGACACCTTTTGGAAATTTATAAAAGAAGGAAGTTGAGACATCTAGAAGTGTGCTTGAAAAGGGAGAGTCTTGAGAAGATCTTGAAGAAGTTTGTGGAGGAACGTTTGGAGAGATTTTCAGGCACCATAAATTTACTTTATCTTTTTTGTTTTTAGTTTTATTGTGAGAGTTAAGAGTGTTGTAAAAGATAAAAGATTCAAAGAAACTTCAAGAGTTTGGTGGAGGATTTGAGATAACTTGAATTACTTTAATTAAATTCTACAATCTTAAGTAAAGGTTTTTCATAGTTAAATTCCCGAATTTACCTTTCCTTTAATTTTCTCTATTGGATCCATACTGGGTTTTTAAAGAAAACTCTATATTACTTGAAACGATAAATATATTTGCATAGCACTCCTAGTGAGAAAACTATTAATCTAAATTTTATAATATTACATTTGTTCTCACTAGAAGCTATTGGTTCAAGATTTTGGCCATATTCGGGAACATAAATATCTGTGTAATTACGGGTTGGGACAAGGGTCCTTAAGAAAATCTAGATCCGAAACTACAAGTATAACAAAAACTTTCTAAACGACTTCAGAACCTTAGCCTCTATCTCTAGAAATTACTACTCGAGTAAACTTGGTGCGGCTATTTTCAAAATTGCTTAGAGAATTAAAAGAGATACTTCAATCTTGGATTACTCAGATAATGTCCCACACTTTGATAATATAGGCATGCGAGTCCAATTCTTCTTTGAAAAACTTAAAGAGAAATGCACCTATATCTCTATCTAGAAGTAATTGAGGAAGAAAATATATAGTTCATGTTCCCAAATTTATACGCCCAAACAATATGGATTTAGCAAGTATGAGAAGATTATCAAACCAAATTGAAAACATTTCAAAAAGTCGTTCAAAGAAACTTACTACCTTACAAAAAATTCTGTCAAGAAATCATGCCTGAACAAAGATAGGGGTATTTGAAGGTATAAAATTAAAATGACATCCTCATAAGATAACTTATTTTGCCGTTCAAGAAGAACACTTAGCTACTAATTGTCCAAAAAAAAAAGATTAAGAAATTGTCATATTAGAAGGGTGTTTCAACACGGATATAATAGACTTGGGCTGCTAAATTTGGGATACATATTCTATCAATATCATCAATTCAAATGATACCCTTGAAGAAAAGGAACGCGCGAACTTCCAGTTTATAAACGATATCCTTGATAACCCAATACTTCAAGACTCCTTAGATATATTGGATCAACAATTCATGAATATGGAATACATGCCTGAATGAAATTAAGGTCTTAACGAAGACAAAACAAACTGTGAGTATTGCCACTAGTATCAAGCGATTCATAGAAGGTATAAATGTAAGCATTGTCATGTTCAAACATATTATAAATGTGTCCACGAAAAATATGATGTTCTTTATCCTAAAGTTTTAACTGATTTCAAAATGAAACACCCACTTCTTGAAAAAAAAGGTTAGGATACTTGAACGACATTTCAATTCCATTGAAGAAAAAATGGAAATGATCATAGGTTATGATAAGGACAATTGGAAAACAATCTGAATGACAAAAACCTCATCAATACCTATGAAGATAATCAAGAATCACTTGATCTTGTGCTCAATAGTGTTGAAATAGAACTGGAAATAGAATGATTGCTCATCATCTACAATCTCGAGAAAATTCATCAAGTCCAAGTTCTAGCTATATTAAATAATCATGACTATGAAATCATTCTCTCTGCTTTCATTGATACAAAAGCAACTAATAATTCAATTTCTGTTGATTTGGTACCAGCTACCATATTACTTTGAGTGATACATTTAGGCGTACATCTCAACTCGATGGTTTCGTGTTGAATTTATTCATATTATTAGAAAATGTTATCTGTTTCTCCGAACTCATTATCAGAATTGGTCCCAATGTTATAACATTGAAGAAATATTAATTCATTATGAGTTTCCCGATTCACAATCATCTATCAAACTTATTTTGGGACTCAATTTCTTCTTGAAATCTAATGGAGATTTGATGCTTACTTCAAATTACCTTACCATTTTTCATCATTCTGCTACGATTCCTATCATTTTTAGTTATGCTCATACAGAGTATGCTTGGTTGCATGGTGACAAGAATTTAAAACTTCTTACATCAAAAATTTTAACCAAAAATATTTCTGAAAAGAAATAATGTAAAAAAAACAAAGCAAGTGTGGTTTTAATGGCTTGATCTAAGCTTAATTTGACTCGGATTGGACTAATTTAGGTAATATTAGATTCTTCTCTCGAGTCGATCATTTTAACTATAAGTTTGCTTAAATCGGAGGATTGGATGAGTTTTTATCGATGTTTGAATATTTATTGCTCAAAATGCAGTATGTAGATCAATGTCATGCCTCGAGATTCATGCCAGATGATGAGATTTGCTGGAGATATATCAAAAATGTCACTACTGGTAAGAAGGGGGAGAAAATGGATTATTAAGTGGTTCATATATATTCTTCAAGATGTAATAAGAGACTATGATAATTACTATTTATAATTATTTCAAATTGTGAGTTTATGATCACAAATTCACAATACCTTATAACGTGTGACATGTGTTCGTGAAACCAGTTAGGATAGTCATAAACATTAAAATAAAAAGTCATTGATGCTAGTGATTATTGTTTTCGCAATATTTGTCTTTGAATCGTTTAAAGTTCTCTAAAATTATATTTCTTACTCCTCTACACATTAAAGGCATGCGTTTATGCAAGCCATTATAGAGTATTGCAAGAACAAAGGCCAAAATTTAAGGTGATGCTTGAGATTAGGGCTGTCAAAAAAGCTCGTTGTTCGTGAACAGTTCGTGTTCGGTTCGTCAATGAGTTCGTGTTCGATTCGTTCGATAAGTAAACGAGACAAGCACAAACAAATTTTTTTCGTTCGGTTAGTTAGACGAACCAAACACGAACAGTGATGCGTTCGTTCGTGTTCGAATCGTTATTGTTTGAAATATAAAATAATATAAAATAATTATATATAAAAAATTTATTATATTTTAAAACATTAAATTTTATAAATTATAATATATAATAAAATAATAATAATAATATATTAATATACTATAGTAGTAATATAATATTGAATATTTATATAATATAAGTTATATAATTAATATATAATATTATTTTTATATATTAATATTAGGGATGTCAAACTGGCTCGTCGTTCGCGAACAGCTCGTGTTCGGTTCGTGTTCGGCTCGTTCGTTAAGAAACGAACACGAGTGTTCGACTCGTTCGTTAAGAAACGAACACGAGCTTATTTCAAACAAACTAAATTTTCGAACACGAACACATGAACACATGCTTTGTTCGTTCGTGTTCGATTCGTTTACACCCCTACTTGAGATATGGACTCTGATATCCTTATATATGGATGACACATGTAATGTGTAAAAGAGTTCCAAATGTACAATCTGAGCCTCTTTTATAGTTTTAAATAATCCATATATATATATATATATATATATATGGCTATGTTAATTTACTCTCTTAAATTCATTTCTAATTATGTATTTCTTTCTAGCTTAAACTAAAATTGCATGTACAAAATATATAATTGTAAATCTTAGACATTGAAGAAGATGAAGCTTGAATAATTTAATTGTGTTTGTATTTTTTTTTTTTAAATTTCATTTGGGTAGTGTGATGTATGTATTCATTTGTTTGGTAAATATTGGATGGTACATTTGTAATTTAGTTAAATTATTGATTGTAAAATTATATCAATGCATCATATTTATTCTCTAAATATTGTAAACAAATGTTTAAAGTACTATATTTTTTCATCAAATATATGTATGTATCTATTTAAATATCTATTATTGTAATATGTTTATTAATTCCAAAGGGTCTATTTATAACGGAACACGAGCACACCGTTCACGAGCCAATTTCTAATATGAGTGAATTTGAAATATAATTAATTTCAAACACACTAAACACGAGCCAAGCCTCAACTCGCTGTTCTACAAAAAGGAGAGGAAGATTTACATACATTCCCCTCAATTTTCATGTATTTACATGTCTGACATTTTAAAAGTCAAAGTGATAATATTTTTAGTGATATGATAGATTTGGGTGGAATTAATATAAAAAAAAAATAAAGTTTTGATGTTACATATATAAATACATAATAATTTGGCGGTATGTATATAAATGCCCCAAATAAAACAATTAAAATTTAAAAAAAAATCATAGTATATTCCTTCCAAATTTAATGATTTTTAATGGTCGCCTGGCCCTTTTACCGTATTTAAAAAAAAAAAAAAAAAAAAAAAACATTTTTTTCTTAAGAAAATCTACATAAATATCACAACTACTATGCATGAAAGATGCATGCCACATTTAAAAAACTTAATGACCACAATACCCTCATCCTGATGTTAGTTTTTTGCATATTATATATGTAAACATAATAATTTAACCACCAGATCAAGAATTTTATGGTATACATGTAAATACCCATTTTTTTAAAATTATTTTCATGATTAAAAGTAAAAAAAGGGGCGATTACATTCACGTCACCCAAAATATTGTCATTTACAAATCAAACCACCTCTTTCTTCCTACTCATTTTTTCTTTTAAATGTATGGATTTAATAGTTAAAAAATGCTATAAATAGCAAAGTTTGTTATGGGCTTTATGCAATTATCCCTCTCCCACAGCTTAAAACCCTTCCTTCATCCTTTTCCCCCTCCACCATGAAATCCCCAACTTCTCGGTCCCGAAGCTCCAGAAAAGAGCAATTTTCAGCATAACTCAGATAATCCATTGATTCTTAGAGAAGCTATTACAAACTGAGAACCAATGGAGAAAATCGACGAAGCGCAGGAGCTCAACGGAGGTCTGAAAGGTTACTGGAATCCGAGAGCCTATCAGAAGCTCGATCGCAGCGGTCGGCGATCGAATAAGAGAAAATTGAAGCTGGGAGGCGGGTGGAGGGTTAAGGTATCTCCGAAGCTGAAGGTCTTACAAGACTTTCGTCCGAAGAGAATTTTCGCCCAAATCCGGCAAGGTTACGTGCGCGCGATGCTGGGTTTCGCCGGCAAGCTCTGGTACGGCAATGGCCAGAATGAGTACGTGAGACTGATTGGGGGTCCGTCGAGGAAGGAATACGAGGAGCGGTTGATTCTCCAGTTACAGAGACAGATCTTGGAGCGGAACCGCCGTTACGCTGCAGCCGGGATCACCGGTGTCACGCGCTCCGGCGAGAACGGGTTGTAGGTGTGGTGGTCTGCGTATAGGAAGCAATTATTGAGTGTGGACACCACATGTTGATTGGTGGCATTTTATTGGTATTGCATTGCAATATCAATATCAATATCATTATAATACTATCAAAATAAAACGAATTTGAATCTGTATCTGCACGTAATATTTTTTTTCGTTTGTGGTGGTCTGCATCTAGAGAACAATTATTGAGTGTGGACACCTCATGTCAATTAGTTACATTTTATTGGTATTGCATTGCAATATCAATATCATCACAATACTATCAAAATATCATGAATCTGAATTTTGTCCTTTGCACATGTCTAAGTTGGAAAGAATTGTTTAATAGCAGAAGTTGAGGGCAATTACATACAAATCACCCGAAACTTATTATTTATAAACCAATCACTCTCTTTCTTCTATTTTTCAAATTCTCACTCAAATATGAAAATTCATGGTAAAACTCAAACCCATATTTTTCATTTTTATTAAGTTCTCAATAGTTTGATGATGGAACGTGTAAATATATTGCTTTCATAGTTTAAAATAATCACCTGGATGTTATGTTTAATTTGATAATATCAATATTTTGGATGATCTATATGTAATTATCCCTAATAATTATTGGTATCTATGCCTACAAGAAACATGCAACTCCATCATTTAGAAAAATTGATGCAAATTGAATCAATTAGTCCAAATGGAAGTGTAGAACTTATAGGATATACTTAATTGTATTATCACTGTCATCATCTTCTGATTGACAAAAAAAACATCCATGTACATACGACTGAACGGATTAGAGGTTGAAGTTTTATATATATATATATATATTCATATATGTCATCTTATCTTATGTATGAGAAGGTATATGTTATTTCTTTAGTTAAAATTATGATATTTATGGCACCTTATCTATACATAAAATCCGTATATCACTTTTTTTTCCAAGTTAAAATCTATACATGAAAAACTAGACTTTTGGTCTTAATGTAAAAAAAAATAGAGTTTTGATGTTAGATATATACTTAAATACAAAGAAATTTGGTGGCATGTAAGTAAATGCTCCTCTGATATTTTTAAGAATTGATTAATACATAACAAGCAATGTTTTAAACCATCAACTAATAAGACATTGCCAAGAAATTAAGAACTATTTTCTTGCCAAAATTACCTAAGTTAGTAACTTTTGTGTGGTATAATCACCAAGCATCACTTTTCCACATATTTTAGAATCCAATGCAAAGAATGTGTTTTTATCACTAGTCATATAACCCGAGCAACAGTTATCTAAATACCAAATAACTTTATTGTTTCTAATGTGCATGCATTATATCACATAAAATTAGCTAGTAATTTTAGGAACCTAGATCATTTGATCCCTTATAAGAGAAACGAGAGAATGCATGTTCTGATGAATTTAAGGATTTTTTTTTCCTTTTTCATTTTAATGATGTGTTCATGTGAGGTCTATGTAGGCATAGTGATGCAATATGTTTAACCATTCTGCATGAAAATTATGAATTTTTAGGAAATGCATGCATAATTTTTTTTTGGATTTAAACTTATTCTTCCTAAAAGAGTATGCTTCTATATGTGTCACTTGATGTGGTGAAAATTGTGCTGTAGGATTACTGTCCAATTTTCTAAGTTCTAATATTTATTTTCTAACATTCTCACTTGCACTTTTAGTCATTCCTAAATGGACATGTTACCTATGGGTTTGTTCTTAAATACTTTCAAGCATACTCTCTAATCATGATATGCTTCTTCTAATTCAAAATGTCTGAGATTTTTATTTGCGAGTTCTTCCTAAAAGAGAATGCTTCAATTAATTTTGTGTTCTTGGAGACTTCAACACTATACCAAGTTAATGTTAAAGTGATTTAAAGGGGCCTAATTTCCATGATCCATGTGTTCATGGGCATTGGCCAGGAACTCGTGGGCCATCGGGATTACGACTTTACCAAGCTCAGCTACAAATGGACGTCAATTTGTTTAAAATTATTTGCTCTACTAAGCTCCTCGGTCTAGAGAAATCACGCTTTGTAATGAGCTTACAATTTTTAAGGACTTCTTCATGCATATCTTGTGCTTTGGTGCTAATAATAAGACAAGTGTCATAGGTACCCAACGCCAACATCTTCCCCTTCAATCCTCTTGGTGACATCTTCCTTTCACGAATCTAAGAAGAAGAAGAGTGTGAGGGAGGGGAGCTTGTAGAAATAGATTCATGGAACAAACAAAAAATTTTTCACCTCTGAACACCGTTTATAAGGGTTTCAGTGTTGTAACTCTAATATGCAACACCACTGAGCTATCCTTTGACATGGTCAAATTGCTAAGCCAATAGTTCAATTTTTTGCCAGTTACAGAATGTTCTCATGATATGATTAATGTGGCATCGTGGTGCTTGGTATCAGTATAATGGAGCTGAGGTAAGGCTTGGTCAAACATAATCAACTAATTTTAGGTTACACCTGTAATGTAATTAAGCATCAATGGAATTGATGGAGTGACATAAAGCCAGGGGTTAGCACTGCTACATTGATTTGATTTATCGGGTCACACAGGTATTGATAAATAAAAGATCTATTACATACAATTTTGCATGTGATAACAAAGTATGATGCATAGGCACTAGTTAGGGCTATATTGCTAATTAAAGTCTTTTAGGCACTATGACACCAAATTTTTTTTGTAAAGGAGGCTGAGGCATGCATTACGGGAATGAAAAGGACATCTCTAGGTGATGCAAGTAGCATTGAAATCCCAATAGATATCTTCTTTGAAGAGTTAAGTCTATAAATTATATTTCATGATATAGGGAAATTTTGAAAAACTTCTTTAATATATGTATGTGTCCTCAAATGGTGATTTATATTCCTAACTTATTAAAAACTCGTGCTCTTCTATTCCATCATGTGGTAACTATTCGATTATGATACTTACAATTTGAAAGATATTGATCATGATATACACTTGTATTTGGTTTCTTTGATCACTCACAAAAGAGTTGATTTCCAAATTTTGATAGAAAGTATTTCATTTTAATGATAAGATATTCTTAACATTAATATATATATATATATATATATATATAGAGAGAGAGAGAGAGAGAGTTGAACGATTCATTCAAATTCTAAAATATTAAATAAAGAACAAGCTTCTGATTTGATCTGATTTTATATTAAAATTTAAGAATAACATTCTTGAACCCATTGTTCCTCCTCATAATAATGAGAAGTATAGGAAGAGGATTGGTAATTTTAATCTTTATGCCAATGTTAAAAAAAATATTTGGTTTATGTTGAAGTAGGAAATTAAGGTGGAGATTCTTGTGGATCATGGCCAATTTTTTTCATGTGAAAGCCAAGAACACTCCCAGAGGAACATGTTCTAACTAGTTAATTACTTTATAAAGAATACCCAAGCATCCTCTCGATAAAAGAGATTTTGCTTGTATTATCGTAAACCTGAGGAAATAGGTTATCAAAGGAAGACTATTTCATATGGGAAAGTCCTGATGCTTCAAATCTCAAGCTAAGACATCTGACAGAGAGCGAGTCTCTTACATCCCGAATGGGCAGCGGCTCAAAGGCATACGAAGCCCACGGAATAACCAAAATCATCTTGATGGGGATATCTCAATGCGTCAAAGCACATCCAGGCCATAAGGGCAGATGACAAATCATCGTATCCCAAATGAATGATAGCTCATCGACATTGGGCCATCAAGATGATATTGATGAAGTCAAGGAGTGACAGGGTTCAAAGGGGCTCAACAACAGGAAGATAGAGTGATCCTAAAAGGCAGAGGTAGCTGATTCGGGGTACCACATACCAATTATCTCAAGCCACTATGACCCTAAGTCTACCCGGTTGTGAAGGTAGTCGACCCAACACTTCCTGAGATCCCCAATCAGCAATCCATTAATTGAATCATCCATGGTGACCTCGGTAGCCCTAAGGTCAAAGGAAGGAAATTCTATCCTATGAATACAAGCTGAAGCTCCAAGAGGTGGGACTCACACCTGCCAAAGTGGCAAGGATGCCTCAGGAAAGGAGAGAAGAAGAGGTTCAACTACAAAGCTGGAAATCATCCAAACAAAAGGACTTACAACCCGTCTAGGTTGGGGAGTCTTCAAACACCCTAGGTACATTAGACAACCATCTATATATAAAAGGTATGTTGGCTCAGTCGACTTGGAGAACCATGGGGCATACCCTGAGGACATGCAAATATGAACGCAATTATGTAAAGAGGTCCTTAATTTATATGAAGGCCCTATTAAATATGATTGGCTTATAGCCATGTCATGCATCCAATTTAAAATATGGCCCGAAGGCCATACAAAAAAGTAAAAGTGTAATTCTTAAAATCCTCAACATTTTAATTCTAAATTTTAATTTTTTTGAATATTTTATCAGGAATTTGTAAAAAAATTTAGAATTTTTAAATCCTAAAGAGCCTATATTGCATCGTGATTCCCAAACAAACCACAAAAATAAAAATGAAATAATTTCAAGCATTCAGGCACACAATAAGGCAAAGAACAAGCCAAATCAAATAAATAAAAAAGGTCAGCATCGTTGGGTTGACAACAAATCCCAGAAAAGAAAAAGGCAGCTAGACTTCGCATATACATGCCCAGACCTAATTTTATACATCATTATAAAATGTAGAATTAAGATACTGGACGCGAGCATTTATTATTGGTCCCCTCAACGTGGTTCCCACATAAAAGTGCTTCGTGACTCATGCCCATATCTTATTTCTACTACAGGACTCTTCTAGATTCTAAAAGGTACATATGAAAAGAAAAAGACTCAACCTGCATAGAAAAAAATGTCAACAGGGAAAGCTATACAATGTATAAGAAGTTGTGCCTGGTGAGGGAGCTAAACAACACTTGCAAATAGAGGGTAAGTAGAAATCATTACATGCTACACTTTTTATATTGCACATGTGTGTGTGCATATAAAGGCACGACCTCTTGTTGAAGAATGCCCTAACACGCTACCATGCATATTATTCATGCAATCACACCAAAAGCACAAAAAAAGAAAGATGTTTGGTTATGACAACCAAAACAACAGAGAACAATAACCAGACATCAAAAGACTTCCTAGCACCCTAGATACTAGCCTAACACTTCATCTAACAAAAAGTATTCTAACCTAGCACCTAAGTGCACAAAATAAAGTCTCCAACTACTGTATGACTTTAATGGTGTGGCAATTTCGGTTCCGTTCTAAAGATCTAAGGGATCTAAAGCACTTCACAAGAGAGGGGTGACATTTT